CTCACTCAGTAGTTTCAAATGACTTTACATATAATTGTACATATTCATACGTAAATATCAATGTGTGTTATATTCACTTACACGTGCTATATTTACTTCTGTAGTAAGTGGAATTGCCTTTCTTAGAATAATTATTTTCTATTTTATAGATACAGAAAATAAGACTGTGGGCAAATTCATCTCTTTTGGAAGAGTCCTCTTCTTTCTGAAAAAGTCTGCTTAAGTTTTTTGTTTGTTTCAGAACTGTTTTTCTCCCCACTTATTTCCCATTTCTGAAGTAAATTTCAGGGTTTTTTTTTGATGTTTGTTTTTTTTTTCAGTCCAAATTTTCATTGTCTTTATGCAGATATTTCATCTATCCCTGTAAACGGATCTTAGATATAAAATCCCTCATATATTTTCATAAAGAGAGCAACAGTGGGAGTTTTCATTAATAAACAACAAAGAAATTAAAAAATCCCATACTAGTGAAAGCACTTTCTATTCATACTGAAAAACTTTGCAAGTTTATATGTCCTCATACCTCCTGAGGACTTATGCATAGGAACCAAAGAATGACTATACAGGAAAGGAGAGGAAGTCTGCTTTGCTTTTGGAATCTGAGTGAATCACTCAACTTTTCTGTCAGCCTAAAATAAGAATCAATAGAGTGTTAACTCCCTATTTTATAGGGTCTGTAAAATGCTTTGATATACCAATATATACTTATCTACAATCTACAATTCCCAATAGTTAAGCAACTCCCTGTAAAGAATAGTAACAGAACAGATATTTGCCCCCTTACATAGTTAAAACTCTGCCATTTGTAGAAACTTGTGATGGTGATGCTCTTCAGTCAAGGATCTGGACAGGTGCAAACAAACAATTAAACATGATTTTTATTATTATGATACTGAGTGGAGCTTCTCAAAGAACAAAGAGACTTTTGTTAAAAAATAAAACCCATAAGCACTTAAAGCCTACATTTTGGTATAAACTTAAACAGAAGGTATGTATATCTTGCCCTAAATTTTCCACTGAAGACAGAAGTGAAGACTACCTTAATAAAAAGAAGTTACCCCCCATCTGAGGTTGCAGGGGTTTGTATTTGTTCCTCTGCCTGGATTGTTTGTTTCTAAAGATTCCTCCTAGAAAGGAAAAAAAAAAGATAAGAAAAATGTCTCCTTAGACTGATTAATAATGTTGTGAAACTCATCTGGCAACATTTTCTTCTTTGTAAAAGACAGCTGCCCTTTGCAAAGAAATATTCCCTTATTTTTTTCTTTTCTTTCTGCCTTTATTTTTTTTTTTCTTTTTCTTTTTGCAAGCTACTGTCTATGGGAAGAGTACTTTGTCTTAATGGCATGATTGTCTGTAATGGAAAGACCTGGAAAGAGAGAACTAAAGATGGAGATGAGGCAGAAAAAAAAAGTTTTACTACTTTTGAAGGGCCTGAGAAATGCTCCCTGCCATGACAGCAGTTGATTATAAAGGGATTGCTAAAAAAGTTTTCTTGCACATCTTTGTAAAAACATCAGTCCTAGCACAGTGATTACTTCTCAGTTTTAGGGCTCTGAGCTGCTTATCCTGTTTGTATGAATAAGCCCTCCACCTTCAACCAAGTCTGCAACCAAACTGCTCCTTCCCTAAGCGAAATTAAAAATTCACTACAGAAAAAGTCTAGGATGACCAGCAGGACGGTCTTAAACAGATTTTGATCAGGCAGAAGCCTCACAAATAGAATATATGAAATGTGCTACTTGGAGTAGTAAAAACCCAGGCAGAGAGCTTTGAACAAGTTGATTCAAGATCCAAGAAATATTTTAGAGTAAAAGGTGAAAGAGATTGTGTTAATACTTCTGTGTGGGCCATTAAAATGCACCAGCACACACAGTGCAATGTAGGCTGCTGGCACACTGCTGCAGGACCACCTTCAATTTCTGCTGGCAATGAACTTTGGGGATGCTTTTCAGTGTGAACTCATTAAAACTATTAGAGCTGGCACTCATTTGAAGCTAATTTCTAAGAGGTACATTGATGCACATGTGGCCTGTGACTTATTTGAATCTGTCAGGTTCTTAACTATCATTGACGCTGCTGAAGCTTCCTTTCAGGGAGTGATAGATTTAACAGGCAGCTAAGAAAAAGAGAACAGCTCCTGTTTCCTCCCCGCATTCACCCTTGCACATCATGCTGTTTGTGCTGCAGTAAATGAAGAGGAGATTAAAATACCTCTTATTAATCTCACACCTTTCACAATTGATTTCATGTTTTACAAGCTAGGGTAGTGATAGCTGATAACATGCTAGGGAACATGGAAGCTGACTTTTCCATTGCATTTAACACAATATTCTTTCAATAACAATCAACAACAGGCTAAAGAATAGTGTAAGCTATCAATATTTTCCTTATTATAGGTTAATAATTACTGTCACTGTTCAGGAGATACCATGTGCTGTTCAGAGTGATCTCCCCGGCAAGTATAGCTGGCACACAGGCTCAGGGACTGGAGTACTCTCCCACTTTCCTCCAAAACAGCCCCATTTTGCCAGTCATGTGTCAAAGGAGCTATAAAGGAGTTGCCTTTCACACTAGAAGCATACTTCAGTCACAGCTGGGCAGCCCAGAGAAGCAGTGAGTAGCAGCTACCTGCCATCGGTGCACCCAGTAGAAAAGTGGCCCTCCCAGGGCAGCAGCTCAGAGGAGCTGCTTGTGGGTTTCTGGATAGAAGTTGTAATGGGTGGAGCATGAGGGGTGCAAAGGAGTTACCCAACTGAAAGACAATGTCGAGCTATCCACCTCTTTAGAGTAGTGGTGCCTACAGAGAGATGCACCATGACTGGAACCCAGAACCAGTAAACAGTAACACTGTGACTAGGAAATGAAAACATTAATGATGTGTTCTTGAGGGCTGATCTCAAGATGAAGCAAAAATATTACCTTTTCAGGTAGCAAGAGAAACAGTTAAAAAACTACAATTGCAAGTAGAAGGGAAATAATAGAACAGAGACTACACAAACATAAACCATCCTTTTTCTTGTATGTTCAGCAACTTCTTCCTCCTTTTCAATGCCTTGACAAGATCTACACCTCTGCTTTAGAGCTGAGAGCTTGAAATTGCCATCTAAACTGTTTCCAGCCAAACCTGCAAATGCTGTAGGACATGACAGGAAATGATGCATTGACTTTATCTAACGCATTGGTATTTATGGTCTGGTCTTTGGAGTAGACATGATTTCAGCGTCTTTTTAAAAAGCAAGAGCTATAGGAGTTGCTAATCTTGCTACTGAACAATATGAAGTGGCTAACACTGCAGGCATTCCAGAAGAATCAGCATTTTTTCCTTCTTTAGTGAAGATTTGAAAAATAAACAAAGAAAAAAAAAAAAAAAGAGAAACTTTACAATACAACTGACAGCTGTCCCATTTCTGCAGATTTCTTACAGTACAGTACCTATGCCAAGCCATGAATACTGAAAATGCATTATGGATTTAATTTTGGCCTCTTTTTATGTAAAAGAGTACTCTAAGTTAAGAGTTCTGGTATTGAGCTGCACTCCTGTTTGTACTATACCTGCAGGTCCCACATAAGATCTATCACGTTAGGCATTGTGATACCTAAATATGGGATATGACTTAGACTGCCCTTGTTTACCTACAGTCTAAACTGCCCTCATGAAGTATTGTAGGAGATTCTGAACTCAGATTTCCATGATCCAGTCACGGACTAAGCTCTTTTTCTGAGCCTAAAGTATGGTTTTCCTCTAACATAAGCCATTAGCTTGAACGTAATGTTTCAACAAGATTAGTCTCTTTACCTTACTCTGATGCTTTTTTTTTTTTTTTTTTAAGAACATGTCAGAGAATAGCGATGAAAGTGATGTACAATTACTGTTTGGTGAGGTGAGTATGCAGTGTTTTTTCAAAGAAATAATCAAAAGCACTCCTTCTTTCTCTACTACTGATTATGGCCAGATTTCAAGGAAGTAATGAAGCCTATCATAAGCAGTAATTTGTGCAGAGGACTGAAAGTTAAAAAACACAGTTTAGGACCTTTCTGAAAGTCCATTTCAGTTAGATTTTTCAGCTATAAGGACAAGGAAGCAGTAGTCTCTACATGCCCAAGCACTCTTGTATTGCCATTTCTTTTTCACAAAGACTGTGATCTGTACCTGTGATTACACCTCTCCTACAGATGTCAGCAGGCATCTGTAGGGTACATGCAGTATACACAAAAAAATATGTTTGGAATATCATTCTATCCATCATTGCTGCACATTTTGTATTTTTATATTTAAATCCCTGAATGAGGATGGAGATTTGATAGTTATAATTTCTACTGAAATTAAAAGTTTTAGTCCTCATGCTTCTATCCTAATATCAGAGTAGTCTATGATACAGTAACATACTTTGCCTTCAAAATTTTACCATAGAATCATAGGCTGGTTTGAGTTATGCTCTGTAATCTCACAAATGCAGCCAAGTATTCCATGACCAGCACTGGCACCTTTCCAATCATCGCTGTTTCTCTAAAGATCTTAAGCTGTTTTGAAAGATGCGTGTCAGTGTGCTACTAAACGGTTTTAGCACTTACTCCAGAACCATTATAACAACTGGACACAAGAAGGAGAGGGAAGAAGACTTGCTCACAGACATATCTACATAGAGCGATTTGTCATTGGGTTTTTCATTGCAGCATACTGACATTATACCACAAATCACAAACTTAATAGAATGGATGTGTCAATATTCTGGATATAAAGTTTAGCACAAGGGAAATTAATATTATCATCAACATTGGATTAGTAGCTTCATATAGCGATTTAGTATGATGGAAAGAATTCAGTCAACAGAATAAATAAGCACAAGGAAAAATAAAACTGAATATCAAGGGCTTTGTATTCTAACTAGAGCCTTCAAGAGCATTTGCGCTTCTGTTAGGAGTAATCTGACAGAACCTAAGCCAGATTTAGGATAAAATGAGAGGCAAATAGATTTAGGAGATAATTAGAAACTGCTTACCAAGAGAATGAGGTCTCCATACAGAATCATAGCAAAATTCAAGTGGGGATGGACTTCTGGGGGTCATCGGATCTGCTCCATTCTCTCACTCAAACCAAGGCTAATGCCAAAGTTAAATCAGGTTACTCATGGTCACATCCAGTAGCACTTTGAATATCTGCAAGGAAAGATATTCGTCAGACTTTGCAGGAGCCTGTTCCATCACTGACACCACCACCATAATGTAGATTTAGTTGCTTGTTCATCCCATTGAATTGTTGGGTTCAGAATGGAAGGCTGCATTCAGGGGCTGCTGTAAACTTGAAGCTATTAATGAACAGACATTTCTCAAATTCCAGTGTCAGAGTGAACATCTTAAGACTAAGAAATGCAACAGCTGGGCAGACAATCCTTTATTTTCACATTTAGCAGGAAAATAAAGCAAACTCTAGTCTTCAAACATTCAAAGAAAAACATAAACAAACATAAAAGGCTTGCTTAGTTGAATATTATTTTCCTAAAAACATTGCTTCAGAATTGCAAAAACACTTATTAAAAAATGTTATGCCATGAAAAAAAAATAAAAAAAAAAAAAAAAAGGTTCAATAGAAAAACATTTAAATAGATAAGGTTATGCAAAAGAAGCAGTAAAATGCTTTCAAAAAATAAACTCCCTTTTACTGGTTAAATTTTTAAAGCTTAGATGGTACAAATAACTGATTTTCAGTAACAGCATATATCTTTCCTGTGTCTGATTAGCTGTTACTGTTATTTATAGCTCTGTGCATGTGATAGAAACATAGAGAAGACAACATGAATCTTTCTGCCTCTGTTGACAGGCCTGCTAATCCATTACTAAGTCTCCTCCATTCTTGTTTCACTTACCTGTAAACCAATAGTGTCAGTGCTGAATTATTTTTGATATTGAAATTATTGATGAATTGCAAAGGTTAAAATTAAAGTGTGATTTATGTTGTGATCAGCAGCACGGTGTTAGAGCACCAAGTGATCTGTGCAAAATTATAACCATAAATACACTTGAGTCTTTGTTTTAGAACCTCTGCCAAACAGTTCTACATCTTTTTTGTTTGTTTGTTTCATTCTGTCTGTTTTTCCTGTCTCTGATTCTTCAGTAAAAGAAATGCAAATAATTTGCTGATAAAGATCATAACCTCCCCAGTTTTGATGATTTTCTGAGCAAAAATATGTTATTCTATTTCACTGGAGGCTTCTGAAATGCTGCTTCAACCACTGGAGGAAACCTTTACTGGAGGTGTAGTGTACAACAAGCAGAGAATGGCCCATTTGCCATATACAAGATAATTGCTTTGTAAAAAAGCATTCCTAAATAGTGTTTTTTTCTTTGTTTGTTTTCCTGAGGAACAGAAAAGTTACAAATCTTGATTATCCTATCAATATTTCCCCTTTTTTGTGTCTTTATGTGCTTCAGGTTTGGAACCAATAAATCCAAAAATAAAACAGGATAATCCTGCAGACATGAACCTTCAGCCTCAAGGAATAACAGTCAGAAAAAAAAATCTGTCTCAGCACGTCTCTCACTCATATTGCATAACAGAGGTGAAATTCAAATGCACTTTTCTGACTGTACCTAAGCATGTATCTGTAGCCAATTCCTCTGTGATGCAGAGCTGTGTGGCCTCAGTGTGCAGACTACAACTGTTGACAAAAGGGTTGAAGAAAAGCAAACCAGCAGTTTCTAGTCCCTTTCCTTCCCAAACTGGTGCTAGTTAAAATTTGAACAGATAGCACAGGATAAACCATTGTGAGGAAAAAAATGCAAAACTAGTATTTCACATACCCTGGACGACAAAGGTGTAGCAAAATGTTTCATTAAGAGGTCTTTGCAGAATTAGAATGACCTTAAGTTCCAGACTGTATTATTCCTGAATCTGCTATTAAAGAACACTTTTAATAGCCTAATCCCCATGATGCTGAAAGTCAGGATTTCCTGTAGTGAAAAGCACAGCAAGCGACAGGCATAGCACCAAGCATGACTCCGAGGGGCTAGGAGAGTGGAATTTCTAAAGCCCTGGCTAAAATCTTAAAGAAATCTGTCTCCTGATATTTGCATTCTTTCATCTTGCTGAAATATATATTTGACTTTCCTAGAGTAATTTAATGAAGAAACAACCTCTACTGGAGAGTTACCCAAAGGGTAACATTTGTTAGCATGGTACTGTTCTAATTGGTTACACAAAGATTTTGTACAACAGCTCCTGTAGAAAAGGTAGAAATTATGACAAACAAATAAATTCAAACTAAACAAGCATTTGTTTCTCTGCTTGCACTTTCTAGTCACAGAGCAGTACCTCACTTTGGTAAGCCTTCTTGCTGGATAGAGTTCAAGAACATTTGACAAAGGATGGTGGCATGTCTATTTTCACATGCATTGAATGCCTCAACTGATTTCAGAAGAATGCTTGTGGAATAACCCATTGGTTATGGAAAGTTGCCCAAGCAGAGGATTTTCACATCTCTTCTCTGAGGAGTGCCAGTGTTTCCCAGGACAGCATTCCGAGTTGTCAGTGAACATCTCTGAGACTCCCACTTACATTAATGAAACTGCACAGCATGAGCAAAAAGCCTTTTTAGTCCTATTCAACATTTCTTCCAAGACACTGAACATATTGTGTTCACTTTGGAGCAGTGTTTAATTCTGGGGATTCATTAGAGACATGATTAATAATTATTATCCTGTCCATATTAAAGAGAATATTTTAGGTAAAGAGAAAGATTATAAGCACTTCTCAAAGTTGCATCCAAATGAATTTAGTTTGATTTAGCAATTGATTTCATTTCAATCCACTGGAAATTTAGCAAGCTGCCATTTGGTTGTCATTTATGTTTTACTTTGTTTTGTTTGTATTTATTATTACAGAAGCTGTGAAAACAATAGCTGAAAAGTATGTTAAAAGCAGTGCTTTACAAATATTCATTTTCAGTTGTAAATCCTTCTCACTCTAATAGAGGTAACTTCTGTTCTCTTTTGCTATGAAATAAGGATGCTGATCATCAGAATGAGGCATCGTTACATTAACAAATTTATATTTCTCTTCTGGATGGTGATGATTTGTGAGAAGGATGCCCAGTAAGTTACACAGAGGATAAGAGACCTCTCTTCCCAGTCTAGGGCCAGGTTGAGCCCAATTTAACATTTTCTCTATTTCTATTATTACAGAGATTTCCTAGGGAAAAGAAGTGCATACACCAACTGTTATCTGCTCAGTTACACGTATATCTGAGATCAGACACAATGGAGCTATCTCTGGTGGTATGATTTCTCTACCAGAAGAAATGGAAGTTTGAATTACACAAGCATCCATGGTTTAAATGTAATATTATTTATAGGAACTTCCTAATATGTAGGACCAGTAAAATAACACAATTTAAAAAGTGAACAATGGTGTGGTTTTTTATCTAAGTTGCTTCTTCAACTGCATTGATCAGCAATTCATCATTTTGTTTAAAATTCAATATTAACAAAATTGTAATTTATCAGCCTTATTCTTAAATCAATTCCATAATCATAGCTATGCCCTATTATGAAGTAATGGCAATGTTAATTTTATTCTGCCAAATGTAAATTGACTGATTTATCACATCATTCTACAGATCCTTCAAGTTGTTTCTAATAATAAAAGGAAGAAAAAAAGAAAGCCCACTGTAATGACTACAGTTTTTGTTTTAAATATCACTGAGAACAGACAATCAAGATATATATCCGTAACATAAAAAATAATGTAAATCCCTCTGGTCTCTCTGACTTCAGCCTGTCTCATGGCTTCTGACATTGATTTATTTATTTATTTATTATGTCAAGTGAGAATCTAGCCTTCAATTTCTGTTTCATTTCAGGTAGCGGTTTCATAATTATGATGCAGAAAACTTAATAAAATAATTGAATAATTATAATGAGTAACAGATGACATTAGATTCTGTTCCTGACTCAAGATTAACTTGACATCTTGGCAGCGTGGTCTCTCTCTATATACCTCTCTTTCTTTATGAGAAAAGGATGCCATATGAAGACATTTTAGGAATTCTTTGAGATTTAACCAAAAAAGCTTGTAAAGCAGCCCCAGATTTCCAACTGAAGCTTGTGTATTCAGGGATATTGTCATCATCATCCTCTTATTGAAATTTCAGTAGACAAAGTGTCATTCTTAGCAGTTCCCAGTAACCTGATGGCACAGGATTAACCAATTGGTACTAAGTTAGCAAACCTACTTGGTTAGCAAACCTGGTAAGTTAGCATGAACAAAACAGAGTTTGGTTGAATCAGAGGTGTCTGCAAAATGAGAGAAGAAAAAAGAAAACAAAGCACAATTACCAAAGCAGCCAGTCATATAACTGATTTAAATGGTTTACAGCCAGCTGGAAGTGTGGCATAGATAAGGCTTTGCCATGCTGAACCAGTTTGCACTCAGTTGTTCCTAAAACCTGCCAGTTATAAATCCTTTACGCAACACAGACCCCCAGCACTTGAAATATCAGGAAAACTCCTTTGGCTATGAGCAGCAAGCTGTTCCAGTCATTGTCACCAACCACCTGTCACAGACGTGATTCCACCCGCAAAGTGGTATACAGCATTGGCATTTAGAAAAATGTACTTTGCCTCAATTAAATTCTAGAAATAAACCATGTTTTTTCCTGTTTACAAAACACTTCTCCTGCCCCAAATTTCAGCAATTGTTAATTGCTGTTGTGAATAATCTTTTACAGGCCATTCTCATATTCTCTAAATCTGTCTCTTACCCCTACTGATTGCATATCTAATTTATTGTGAACAGAAGAAGCTAATAATATTACATCTGCTAAAGTAGCTGAGATGCATGAAAAAAAGACCAGCCACTAATGTTTTGTATTATTTAGCTTTTTAAGGTTTTGACTGTTGGCGTTATGCAAAGTACAATCATTATAGTCATTGCTTCGGTAGCTGCTAAATTTTCACAAGGACATGCTACTTGGCCTGGAGCACCTCTAAATAATGATAAAAAAAAATCAAAATAAAAGTATTTGGCATATAATTACATAAGATGCACTGTAAGCTAGCCGCAAGTGATAACATACATTAAACTTAAACAAGACCCTAGATTCTTGGCAGAAGCCTCAGGGATTCATGTGATGTGAAAAACAAGCACAAGGGCAATTATAAAAATGCTGCAAGAACTACTTATTTGGTTATAATGTTGGCTGTGTGTAACTGTAAAATGTACTTTGTAGTAAATTGCTTTTGCACACCACTGCCTCAGTGGTTATATGTTCTATACTTCATGTTGTTTCTTTTTTTTTTTCCCCCCATTATAGCTTTCTGACAGGAGGCATACCCAATCTACTGAAAATACCTAATCCATGATCCAAAATGTAGGACAACTTTCGAACAGCTTGGGAAAACCTGATATCTTTGAACCACAACTAAACACACAGGACTGTGAACACTGAGTAGTTATTTTTAGAAAACTTTTTGCAATGAATGTGTTCGGCAATTTTGCAAGACCTTTGTTTTAACACTGAAGCATTCTTTGCTCTGGACTCTGAAAATAAAGACACAGTAAAGAAATATAGTATATGTTTAAAATGTACAAGTAGGGACAGCAAAAATGAACACATTTAAAATATCATTAAAAAAAAAAAATCCAAACAAAATTACTAATAAAATGAAAGAAAAACAGAAATAAAACTGGATGGTTGTGTTCTTTTTCAGAACATAGTCCCCCCATTTCTCTGATATCTTTCCAAAAACTGTTTCTAGAAAATTTATTAAAAATAAATAAATTATTAAAAAAAAAAAAAAGAGCACTCTATTGATTTTCCTAGGATTTTCCTAGAGCTTCTGTGCATTAGGACAAAAAGAACTGATGTGACTGGTCAATAGGTACTCTGACTGACTGCTCTTTATATCCTGAAGCTCTCCTTGCAGTCTCCTCCCTACCTCTTTCCCTCCTCAAGTACCTCAGGCATTTGAGTTCTCTTCAAAAAGGACTGACCTTAACAGAGGTCTTAAGAGATAGGAAACCTTTCCACTATCTGCATTTGCTCTCTGCTTGTATATCATTTCTGAGATGGAGAGCCAATTTAGTTTTAAAAGCAGTGAATCCATTATTATATGCCAACAGTATCTGAAACATGGCAGGACACAACCTGCTGAGATTTATGGGAAGCAGATGAGAAATTTTCCTATGAAGCTGACTCTATTTTATAATATCTCTAGAAGTTAGAGCTCATCTGCTAATTTACAGTAATTGACTAAATGAATAATTCTGTCTCCATGATGCCCTGCAGGTCAAAATTTGGCCTTCAAGGGTAATCTTTTCTTAGGGCAAAGGGGAGCATGGCTGGTGCACACACAGACAGTTCATGCCCTTACTTAATCCTTTTGTGAGTGGTGACTTTCTGAGTGACACTTTAAGTGCACAACAATTCCTCTTATTCTGGCAAATGATGAATTCAAATGATCCAAGGTATTTTATGCAAAAGCTATAATGTTGTCTGCAATTAAAGAGCCCATTTACTTCCATATTCATTTGTTTTGACCTTACTTGAAAATCACTCCATTTAAAAAAAGAAAGTAAGTGCTGTTTATCATACAGTGCTCTGGGAAGTTAGACAGAAATGAAGTTGAAGATAACTTTCCTCTTTGGTTTGTCTGCTAATACACATACCAGCAGTCTCAAACTGTGTCATGAGTCACTCGATGGCCTACAGCACATCTACATGATTAATTTACTGCTCACTGCTGGACTGAACTTAAGCCTTTTCATAATACCTGGAGTCTTTCCATCAGTTTTGATGGGTATGCACAAGGTCTATACCACTCATTTCCATCTATCCCATTCTGATTGGGAAAAAAAAAAAAAAAAGTTACCTTTCTACCAGGACAAGTGATCACGACTAGATAGTAGGTGGAAAGACTTGCTGTTGACCAGCTAATTTGCTTCTGTCAACAAGGGAATTATGCACTTCATTCATAAGAGAGAAGCAGCAATATATTTATTAAAGAAAATAGGGATTTAGCAGGGCTTAATCATGAATAAGACAGTGACTTAATAAAGCTCTAATAGTAAATGCAACATTAAGCAGATTCATGATGGCAAAATCACTTGATTATTTGCTGCATGGAGGACAGTGTCAGACTAAAAGCATCAGGGAGACCCTCACACTGAGTGAGGAGGTTCAGAATAGAGTTCCTTTTGTCATCCAAACTCCAAGGAGTCTAGAAATGACTGGATCCTATCCCAATCCCAGACTTAACAGTTTGCGCCTGAAGGATTACATACACAATCAATTCTTTATATTGCTTAGATAATATTACAGTTTCAGCATGCATAGCAAATTACTTGAACAGTTTCAACAAGCTAGCTTTTAGTCACTTACTGTGTATCTGTCACAGGTAGAAGAGTCTCTCGATAACGAGGAGCAACCTTGAGATGCATCCCTGCTCAAGGAGAAGATCCTAGCATGCAGCCCACTATAGTACAAGAGAACTTAATGGGCTCTAGCTGTCCCCTATTTACAGGGTAAGATGATTGACAACTACTTGTATTTGTGTACTGCCTTGTTTGGTTGGTGTGTGCTCTATTAGCCCTTGGATTTATCTCCTCCAAATCCACCTTGAGCCCAATTTGGCTATCACAATCAGATGCTTTCAGCTGTCTGCCAAACAGTCAGCGCTGATCGTTATCACCCAAGCTGGGTTATGAGTGAAGGGGAGGATTAGGGGGGAATGGGGGAGTACAGCAACACAGCTTCTAAAAGCAATCAAGCAAGCAATGACAGTGTGAATAAGATTGATTAACTGAAGAAGTTTGGTAACTGAGGCAAAAAGCATATCAGGAGAACAGAATTTTGTTGCCAAAAAGATAGCAGTTGAAGTTACTGAAGCTGACATTAGTCCTTACGGTGCATTCAGATAGCCTTTTGAAGGGTTAATGTTAGCATTCTGTATTTCTGATATTAAAGTTCTTCCAAAGTCGTAAAGCGTAATGTACCAAAACAGCAGCCCTTAGTAATTCGCAGTGATATTTCTATAGAGGTTGGAGTCCATCACTTACAAGTCTTGGAACAATGCACCCAAGGATCAAAAATTTCAGCAAAGTACTAGCACTGTCTTATCTTAACAGAAAAGAATAATAATAAAAAAGATTAAAGAATTGTGAAACTGAGAGTTTAAAAAAAAAAAAAAGAGAGAGAGAGAGAGAAAGAAAGAGAAGGGCATCTGAATTGTTTGACAGAACTGTGTGAAGGTGTTTTTCTCTGAGATCTCTAAAGATGGTAGCTTTGGAAGAAAATATCCTAAATCTGCCCTGAGAGCAGTGGATATCACCTAGAAAACCCATTACAAAGTTGCAGATCAATATTTTAAACTCAATCTGGCAGAGAGATTAGTGTGTAACAAAAACGTGCAGTGGCTGGCCACATGTATTAGTGCATTGCTAGCACTCAGATGACACCCCAACAGCATGACATGAGAAGCACAAATCTGAATAGGGTGGTACAGATTGTGTGGGTGCCAACAGGAGTGTTAAAATGACAGTCCCACAGAGATGCACTGGTCTTCAGATATGCATAAGCTATGTGATCCTAAGGCATTTCTACCGAAGTCTGAGTGATAACTCATGTCAGAATAAGCCCAGGAGATCATTCGGGGGGAGGGGAGTGGGAACACAAAAACCCACAGTGCTCTACAACCATGAAGTGCATGCTAGAGTTCAACTGCTCTGCAGGCCAGTCTCTGGCACTACTGAATTGAGCATGATGTGAACACAATCTTTCCCTAACATTAAAAGGAGCCCATAGGCAAATACTGCTCTGTGAACCAGCCAGTGAAATTGGTCTGCAGTGCAAGTGCGTGGGACTGTGGGAAATACAGGCTCTGTTATTATGAGCAACCACAGAGAGGATGTCAGTGGTCCTGTTCAGAATATGTTCTTCTCTTTCCTTTTTTTTATTCTACTGGAACTCTCAAATATACAGTGGAATTCAGCTTTTCAGTTGGAAAATATCCTAAATGTCATGTAGGGCACATGTTTTCCTGCTCCAGCAACTATTCACCCCTTTTCTACAATTCCAAATGTTAGCAATAAGGTAGCACATTTATTTCCTACAAAGCACTAGTTACTCATAAAACCACACTACCACTGCATTAACTGGGGGTGACTGAAGGCACAGCCACTGCATTAATACTTTACCATCGACAAGCTTTGATCCTCAGCAGCTGCAGTTCACCATAGACCTGCCCACCTCTCTGGGCAGATGCCAATTTATTCCAGCTGGATCCATGCCTACGGGCTAAAAACACCTAAGCTCAAGTCTAATGCACTTTCAATGGTTCCCTTGAGAGTATGCCTACCGACACAAACAAGTTTTAAACTAACTCATCTCCTGAGAAAAGAGTAGGCGGAATGCATTATTTTCCCTGTTGGCTTTTTAACCAGATACTTCTCAGGCATCCAAACTGAATTTTCAGTCAGTCAGCTACAGGCTGTCACCATCATATCACTAACTACTTGCATTCTATTTAGACTTGGTTCAATTACACATAGCTGACTTGAAGTCTTGTTTCTGGATTGCAATACAAGCATAGTGAGATCTACTTACAAACTTTGGAAAATTTGACTGCATATATTCCCCAACTTATCTGAAAAGCTTAGGGGCCTGTGGGGAAAACTCTGTGAAATTTTACAAAATGTTGTAACCTTCCTAGGGCTCAATTGCTGTAATTCACCCTTAGCTATTAACTCACTGGAATTGGAGTATCAAGCAGGCACACTCTATTTATATTTAATCCACAAGCTCCTGAATGTTGATATGTGCCAGCAAATCAAATGTAAATGCAAGGTAATATGTAATCTTTGTAAGCTAAGGAAAATTATCAACTGACATACATTACCATGTGAAATAACTAAATCAAGCACTATTCCTTCCAAATGAACAGAGATAAGTGCACTGCACTGCATTTAAAAGGTCTAGCAGCTCAGCAAAGACTCTGTTAATGAGTCAGAAGGCTTATCCAAGGAGGTATTGAAATAACTCAGCTCAGCAGCCTAGGGTTTCTTTTATTTATTTAATTCATTACTTTGTTTACTAACTCTAAAAGCCACTGCACTGCAAGTTGGCCATGAAAAAAATCAAAGACTGATTAACGGAGAAAATGAAGGGAAAACATCTCATCTGATTAATGGGAAGATAAACATGATCCCTCATTGTTTTAACAAACTGCCTTGAGTTGAAATGAGACTCAAATCCTGACTAGCACTGCTCTTGTATTTTAATATACCCATCTCGAATCTTGCCTCTAATTCTGTGGTAGAATTCTTCAAAGGTGTTACTATTCATGTATTATCTTTACATCTTTCTGTTAGTGGCTACAACAACTCGATTCTCCATTGCTAAAGAGAAAGTAAAAAAGGTGCCCTAGCAGCTCCGAAAAGAGAATTTCAAAATGTCATGTTTTTCAAAAAGCCCAGAATCTCACACATTCTGCAATGGTTTCATGCGGTGATGGAAACCTGTGGTGATGCTTATAGTAGGTCAAGGTAAGAGATCTGACTGTGCATGTTCTGTACAAAACCTATATGCTTGATCACAAAATTACTAATCATCAGGCTTTCATTTAACAAAATCAGTGTCCACAATAATATCCGAGTTTCTAGGCTCCTTCAGAAATTAATTCTAAGGCTGAGTAAACACTGCATAAAACATAGTTCTATCTCCTTTAGCCTTTTGAAAATAGCTGAATTTGCTAACATTTGGATACTTCTATCTGGATGCAACTTGAGAACTTCATGCTGCAGAGTTGGTTAGCACTACAAGATTAAGCGTGAAATAAAGTGCTGTGACATACCCATTGCCTTTTTATGGTGTGTTAGAAGTTACAGCACACTCCAATATAAAAATTATACCCAAGTTCTAATTATTTTTTTTCTTTTTTTTTTTCCCTTGCAAATGAAATGACAACCAGACCATTCAGTAACTGCATGAACACCAAAATCCTTTCTTAATCTCAATTTAGACATCCTGTAAAGAGTTAAAAGGATATTCATTTGGTCTGTGGCAAATATAACAACTGATACAATATGGTTGTACTCACTTCTGTATGAGAGACCCAGAGAAAGAACGTTCAGAAGATCTAATCTGTTAACTCATTCAGAGCATAAACACCAACAAACTCAGAAACGTCACACCTTGGTGGTGCATTTGTGTACTATGAGAAAGAAAAACAGATGTCACAGGGACTTTATTAGCAAAATTTAAATACTTCAAGACTTTCATTAGCAATGACAGTGTCAGTGATTTCTAAGAGTTAAATTTAGGTGTTAAAACTCTACAAATCCAGCTTTTGAGCCATGGATGTTTTTGAATATGCCATCTGAATCATCTGTATTTTTCAAACCATTGCACCATCTGCCTGCTGCAATCAGGGGCTTCACAGAGAAGCTTATCTTTAACTACGAATCAGCAAAAACCTTGTTAATAATTAATGACTTATAAGACATAACACTTGTACTCAATAATGCTAATTTGATGGATTCATGAACAGCTTCTTAAGGAATATCAATATTTATTGTCAAAGTAGAGGTGAGTTTAAGCAAACCAGCTGCATATTTTCTCTGCTTTGCATGCTGCTTCCAAAGAGGAACACACAAAAAAAAAAAAAAAAGATCAAGAAATTTGGCATAACTCACATTATCAGGATAGATTTACCAATCACAGCAAACTGAATTATACCTATGGAAGGAATGGGTGCTTTGATATTATTAACAAACAAATTCAATATTTAATATAAAGTCAGCCTAAAGGAGAGAATTATTTTTGCAATATAAGCAGAACAGTGTAGCATGCAAAGGTACAATTGCTTTGAAAAATCGTTTTTCATGAAAGTGTTGTTCATAAATACTACTGTGTCTAGGGTGAATTAGACCCTTCTCATTAATTTTGACACATGAAAATGTTTCAAATGATTCAATTAATTCAAAAATTATTTTCAAGGAAAAGATGTATGCTTTTCTGCCACTTAACTAATAATGAAGTCAGCATGATGTTGCACTTAAACATGGAAAACCTTGTGCTGGAAAGATCCAGATAGCATAGTAAGAGATGTTTTGGCTGGAACCTGCATCATTTCAGGTTACAGCCAGACCTTGCAAATAAAAATTCCAGCTAGCACATCAAATGCCCTGTCACTTTCTAATGATAGACTGTTTTACCTTACAACAATCAGTGCAAAATGAAAGACTTTCCCTTCTTACTGTGAATTTCTCTTTTTCTTCCTCAGCAGAAATCTCACTAGCTACCTATTAAGCTCCAGTTGTGACCATTGCCCTACCTAATGCTTGCTGTCAAGGTTGAATGAGTGCTTGTGTAGGAGTCCTCTGGTGTTGTAACCTCTGCTTGTGTTGTGTTTCTTTTGTTGTTTTTATTTTTTTTCTGTTTTTTCCTGTTTTTCTTTCAGCATTCATGTGTGATTCAATGTAATTGACAGAGCTGTGAATCATTTTTAATATCACATACCCATTATATATTTTTATACGTATTTATTTCTAAGAGGC